AAAGGGTGGGCCATCTTTGTGATAGGTGGGCCATCTTTGTGATAGGTGGGCCATCTTTGAAAACCAAATATAAAAGTAGGTGGGCCATCTTGGTGCCACGTGTCGAAAGAAGAATGAATTTTATTCACTCTTCTTATATAGTAATATCTTTTTACACACATATGTTGCATACATGTTCATTATTGAATGAGTCAACAAAATATATGTATCACATTTTGTATTATTTGTATTCAATGTATCTTTTTGCTTATTTCATATTATAAATATATACTTTGATGTGTTGTAACAAATTTTATTCATGTTGTGTGGTACAATTGTGTTCATGTATCAACCCTAAAAAATAAGCACTCGTTTGTATTAGTTACTAGTAACTATAATAATAGGTATTCAAGAATTCATACGTTGAATGAACCAACAAATACATGTATTTATATTGTAACACAACTTGTATTCTTTAATTTGTATTTGTATTCAATGTATCCTTTTGTATTTTTCATATGTGAAATGTATAATGCATGTATCTGAAATTGTTTGACACCATTGTATTGATGTATCAACCCTAACAAAATTTATACAAGTTGTGAAACTCAAGCAATAATCATCAAATCAAATTGGTGTGATTTAAAGATTTTGCCGTTTTGAAAAAATAAATTTTACCGTTTTAAATGCCCTCAAATTTTAATTTGTATACTACTATACAAGACAAACAAATTTTGGATACATAGAATACAACGATTTTTTCATAATAATTATGCTAATTATAGCTAGAGAAATATGGTAACCCCTAAATTATAATTATTTGTGTAAGTTTTTTCAGAACAAGAGCGTTTTATCATTAAATAGATGAGAATCCTAGTGGATAGTGGATATGACGTGATTCTTGTTAATTTAAAAGTGGCAAATTGAGGGGTTTAAGGAGAGTAAATTAAGGGGCAGATAGTTACACTAACAAAATCTCCTTATTTAGAGGGTTATAATTATGAATGTATCATTGTATTTTAAAAAAAGGGCATATACATTAAATACAACTATTTATAGACATAAAATATAGCCATTTTAAAAAAAATATCTTACTTATAGCTATTCTAATTTAATAACCCTAAAACTATAGTCATTTTTGTAAGTTGCTCTATTTTATTTTATTTTTTGATAGTAAGTGATAATTGAGTTAGGATTTGGAGGGTGAGGCCTCTATCCTTAGTGCTGGGCCAGTGTGAAAAGCAGGATTGAGTTGGGCCGCTAAATCCTCTGTAGCTGTATAATGCTCACTTGCGAAATGGGCCAACGAAATTTCTCCAGAAAGATCTCGACAAGAAATATCCAGAAAGACGAAATGTCGAGAAAGTAGTTGACACTCCCTAAGAAGCTATAAGGGGTCGTTTGGTACAAAGATTAACAATGCAAGGATTAATAATGCAGGGATTATCAATAGGAGGATTAGTAATGCAGGGATTAGCAATGCAGTGATTATTTTTTATGAAGTGTTTGGTTCATTGTTTCTAACCTAATTTTGTGTTTGATTTAGAACTCTAAAAAATATTTTTTTCCAATTTTACCCTTGAATTATTATGTCATATATATATATAATATAATTATCATATTTATTGTGGTTTAAAACTTGAATGTGAAGTGCTTAACAAATTTAATTCACTTGAGAAAGTCTCACGTCATAAACGAGATGAAATTATTTTAAGTACCCATGACCCAAGCTTACCTCCTCCTCTCTTAACAAAACAGGAACAAACAATAGCCAACGAGATCTACTGTTTTTTCTTGAAGCTGTAAGGAATGCCAAGCTCCAACTACTGCTATGAAAACAGTAACAAAAGTTTTGAGAGAAAATTCCTTTTCAGTTAAAATTTGAATACAAACGAAATCGTATAACTTTGATGAAAACAGGACAAACGATTCCAAAGAGCAGAATAGCATGAATATCTTTGTCAATTCTAAAGGATATATAAAAAAATTGAGGGGCAATTCAGTCATTTGATTCCTTATCCAAGGATTAATAAACCTTGGATTAGTAATCCCTAGACATCCTTGATATTAGATAAGACCACATATAATGTATTAAGTTATCCATGTATTAATTGTGGTTGCCCAACATTGTATTGAATGGACTAAATTTTAATTTAAGGATTATTTTAATTAATACCACCTACCAAACGGCTCCTAAATAACTACCAGATCCTCTTCCATTAACCATCAAAATTGAAAAAGCAAACAGACAACCAAGCTAACAAACACAGAAAATTCTTAACAAATAAAAAAAAGTCTGATTCCAAGAATCTTTGGCGATCGACGAAGCAGCAGCACGTTTGATCCATTCTCAATGGACGTGTTCAATTCGTTCAAGGAATTAGGCTTCCCAATTTCCAATTCAGGAGAGACCTCTGCATTTGCCAACACTCGAGTCGACTGGAAGGAAACTCCAGAGGCTCATGTGTTCAAGGCTGATCTTCCAGGGCTTAAAAAGGAGGAAGTGAAAGTGGAGATCGAAGAAGATAGGGTTCTTCAAATTAGCGGAGAGAGGAATTTGGAGAAAGAAGATAAGAATGATAAGTGGCATCGTGTAGAACGCAGCAGTGGGAAATTCATGAAAAGATTTAGACTTCCGGAGAATGCGAAGATGGATCAAGTTAAGGCTTCTATGGAGAATAGAGTGCTTACTGTTATTGTTCCAAAGGAAGAGGTAAAAAAGCCTGATGTCAAGTCCATTGAGATCTCTGGGTAAAAATAAATCTGTGAATTAAGTATGGGCAAATAAATAACTGAATCCATTGTGTCTGTTGAAGATTTGAAGTTACTCTGTTTATTCTGGTCCAAATTCCTCTCTGTTTTTTTATAATAAACATTTCTCATTCATTTCTTCGAAGAGTAAATACCAATCAATATAATATAACCTTATCGTAAATATGTATAAATATTTAATTGTAATAACAAGGCATAAATTTAATCTACTATGTATTTTCCGACGAACAGTCATTTTTCTAAAGAAAATAAACGTATTGGAAGCTCTTTTCTCATAAATCATAATGAAAGCAAGTAAGGATGAAATGAGTGCTTACTCAATAAATTGAAGCTACTATCCTTCCTAAATTAAAGACCTACAGCAATTCGAATTCCATTTTCCATATACAAACATTCACTATTATGCTAAGTAATCAAGTTTTACGCCCTCTGATTTAATTTATATATGTACAGTTTTTCTTTATGTCCGTCCTTAGAAAATGACATTGAAATCAAATTGAATATTTTAATTTTTAATTAATAAATCTTTGTGAAACTTTTGAATCAAATTAAACAAACGTAAATTAAAATGGCTAAACTAAATGCCAAAAGAAATATATGAAAGAATTTTTTTTGAGTCCAAATAAAAAGTTATTGAAAATATAAAATTATTGATTAAGTAATTTTTAAATAATATGTTACTTTCCTTGTCCCAATATATATATAGCACATATAGAAATTCAAGAGTCAATCAAATGTTGTTAATTATTGAGATTTATAAAAAAAATTTATGTAGTTTCCAAATTAAATAATATAGGTTACTTCTTTTAGTCCATTTTATTTGACACAAATGGATTAATTTTAAGAACCAATCAAATTTTTTATAAGTAATCGACAAATATTTTAAGTTGTCAATTATCATGATTTATAGTATTTTTTACGTAATTTTTAAATATATAAAAAAATTAAAAATAAGATAAATAAGTTTAAACGAAGAAAAAAATAAAGAAATATATAAATAAGTATGGAACCATACATGTGAAACATGCATGTTGACCGCCACCGATGATTATCCACAATTATATATAATAAAAATAATATATATAGAAATAACTGAGTGACCTTTTCATTAGGCCATAGAATTATCAATGCATTTTGACGTAGTATTACTTGTATAAAATGATGATTGTTTGTTTGTTCATTATTCAATTTAAATAAAATAATACATTAGAATTAGATTATTTTATTATATGTATCTTAGTAGATTATTTGGTGTATGACATTTAATAAAGTTAAAAAATTGTAGTTACACTCACAATGATGGTAAAATGAAATTTAAGGTAGACCAATATAGTTCTAATTTTTCGTGTTAGTATAAGTATAGAGTACGATCCAATACGAATAGATGATTTAGATTGACTGATAGAACATATTTTTTAAATCATTAAATATACTTATATTTTCAATTTTGATATAATTATATGAGTTTTATATACTAACTTGGTAATTTGGTCGCTACATGCGGTCTTAAATGTTACATCTAAGGTATTAATTAATCGTTTCATATTATTGAATAGAAAAGAGTTTTTAGTTCAAATTCAATTAAATAGATCAAAATTCAAATTTGAATTCATCTTATTATTCACACTGCACCAATTTCTAACAAATAAAATATACTATTACATGACGAAAGGAAAAGTACTTTAAACAAAATACAAAACAAACCTGATCATTTTGTGTAATTTACACACAACACAATACACACATGTATTAATCAACTCTCTCTCTCTCTCTTTCACACACACATATATATATATACTAGATATCAGGCGCCCGTGCCAGCACGGGCCCAATGACAACCAAGAAGAAGTTCATGTGTGGTTGTATTTTGAAGCGTATAGAAAATGCTTATAAAAATTCTTCTGTCCATTGAGTTCAATAAAGAAGCAGAAAAGATCAATTGAGTCTTTTTTTAACATGTATAGTTCTGCATAAGTAGCACAACAATATTGGTAACTAACAGTTCTCTTGCTTATGATTAGAAAGTAAAGAATGCTAAAGAGATGATTAATATACCGCTACTTTATAACCTTTAGATTTTTCTTGTTCGGCAGCCAAAGTAAAATTTAGTTGATCACCAATGTAGTTCTGTAACGAACCTAAGTGCATTGTAATCATGAAATGCATATTTTTTTCAATAGTAGATATTCCTGTATAACCATTTGATCAAAAATAGGATGATAGTTGGTGATCCTTTACGTGCATTGTCAATCCCTGATAAGTCTTAATGCTCCCAGATGTTTTGATGATCTCCTCATAAGTGCAGGGACCCGGTCCCCTGTAGAGTATGCTCATCCAGGGTCGTATGTTGTACAGTTGAAAAGTTGTCTGCGCTAGAAAGTTGGTGAAGTCACCAGAGTACTACACCAACCAGAAGTGACGAGGTTGTTTGTCCAAAGGGTATTAACTCTTGATGTTTGATATATTCAAGACTAAAAACAACAAACTACTTATTCATTCAAAGAGAGAGATATTCAAGCTTCAAAACAACAGGGACCTGATAGAGTGTATCATTGCTTCATGTACCAGCTGCTACTTTGATTGCTTGTAATCGTGCTTATATTGTAGGAATTCCTTTCGTTTGTGATAGAAACGTTTCAAGCTTGCGTAAATCATTGTAAGAACTTAGTTGTGAGTAACTTAGTGTCTTACATCAAAGTCTATATTAATCAGTCAGGATTAGTATAGTGGGCAGTGTTGTATCTGCTTAGGCTCATTTAAGTAATAGGTGTTATTACTTAGTGTGGAGATTAAAAGGTTAATCTCAAGTTGTAAACTATATTTTACTTTTGGTTGGAGAAGATTAGTGAAAGCAGTTTGAAAATCCCTGTGAGACAGGTCGTGATTTTACTCCCTTGAGCAAGGAGATTTCCACGTAAACTTGTGTGTATAATCTTTACTTTTAGCATTTATTTACATTCAGTATTTATATCGTGTTGAGGACCTGGTCCTATCAGAGCTAAGTGGACGCATACATTCCAACAAGTGGTATCAGAGCTTGACTTTTCAGTTTGGGTAACACCAAGAAAAGAAAAGATCCTGAAGGAATGACTACTCCACCCAATATGGCGGAAGGTCAGTCTTCTACCACACCACCCCGTTTCAATGGACACTACTATGAGTGGTGGAAGAATCGTATGCATGATTACATCAATACTGAAGACACTGAGTTGTGGGACGTGATTCTCGATGTACCATACATTCCCACAAAGGAAGTGAAAGTCGGCGAGCTCACTACAACAATTGTTAAAACTAGAAAGGAGTATAATGAGACAGACATAAAAAAGATAGAGAAAAATTATAAAGCAATAAAGATTCTAGTGTGTGGAATCGAGTCAGATGAGTACAATCGAATCTCTGCTTGTGAGACAGCCAAGGAGATATGGGACTGTCTTCAAATAGCCCATGAGGGAACAACACAAGTGAAAGAGTCTAAGGTCGATATGCTTACGACTCAATATGAGAACTTTTGTATGAAGAAAGGTGAAACTATCTTTAAGATAAACTCAAGATTCACCTCTATAACCAACTAACTGAGATGCCTTGGTGAACCTATTCCCTTGAGCAAACAAGTTCGGAAGATTCTCAAAGTGCTTCCCAAGTCATGGGAAAGCAAAGTAAACGTTATAACTGAAGCAAAGGATCTGGAGACGCTTACCATGGATGAACTTATTGGAAATCTCCAAACTTATGAGCTGAACAAGCAACAGGGAACAAATATGAAAGAAGAAAAAAAGAGAAATCAGTTGCCTTGAAAACATCCCAAAACGATGTGACTGAGGAGGAGGATGAAATGGCATATGTCACTAGAAGGTTTCAGAAGATCATCAAGAAGCATGGAGGTTTTCAAAAGAAGGCTTCGACCAGTAGAGCAGCTAATGCAAATGATCACTACAACAAATTTTATTTTCAGTTACGAATAATTTTGTCACCTAAAGCACATATTTCGTCACCAAAAAACTTTCGTGATGAAAAAAAAATCGTCAAGCATTCGTCCCTAAATCGTGTGTCACCAAATGTATACAGGCACAACTTAGTGATTCATCACTAATTATAGTTCTATTTACTACGAAAATATTTTTCGTCCCCAAATGTATAGTATCTATGACAAACTTGTTCATCATAGAAATTATATTTTTTTGTAGACAATGGTAGCTTTTCGTCACTAAAAAGGTCATTAATGCCGACGAAACTGATGCGTCACTTATTGTATTATATAATTAGTGACGACGTCATTTGTCTCTAAATTTAAATGTATTTCGTCGTTGAACAAACATTATTCCGTCACAAAAAACTGCCCTTTACATTCAAATTATCTTTTTGTCCCTAAATGTATAAATTAGTGACAACTTTAATTTTTTTATAATTTTGTAGTTGAAAACGATTAGGTCGTCACTAAAAATATTTCTTTTACTCACAAAACAAAATTGTCACTATAGAATGTCATAACTAGAGACGATCATAATTGTCATAAAATACAAAGTCAATTCGTAGGTAATAAGTAGGCTATTTTGGGACAAAAAATATTCTTGTCACCAAATGTTACACTTTTATGATGAAAACATGACCGTCTTAAAAAATATTATAGAGTCGTCGCTAAAAGTTATGCTTTTAAGGACAAAATGTTTTGTCATTAGTCATTCGTACTAATACTATTTTCCATTTGTATTTAACTAGGTTTTGTAAATTTGATAATTTATAGAAAATTTATATTTTTTAAATAATACATTAATATCTTAAAATTCATAACCTAGTTTGTTCCATAATAATAAATATACAATTTTTT